TACTAATAAGTGTAAAGTTGTTTCTTTTGGACGTAAACAGGTCATATCTAACTTCACTTACCATATGCAATGTGACAGGCTCTCCACGGCGACTTCTTACAAGTATCTTGGCATCCACCTTACACCAGGGCTTTCCTGGTTTGATCACATCACTAACGTTTGTGCAAAAGCCTCCAAAACATTGGGGTATTTACGCCAAAACCTTCGTCGTTGTCCCACTAACATTCGCAAAATGTCTTACCTAACTTTCGTCCGCCCGCAACTTGAATATGCCTCATCTGTTTGGTCCCCTTCCGCTCAGTATCAAATTAACATGCTGGAAACAATCCAGAACAGAGCCACCCGTTACATTTCTAGAAACTATGACATCAATTCCAGTGTGACTCAGCTTAAACTCCATCATTCCCTCCAAGCATTAAATGTTCGTCGTCACGTGTCCTTGTTATGCCTGTTTCATAAGTACGTCTACAGTAACAAAACATCGTCGTTGCACCTTCAACGCCCGCTCTACACGTCACGCAGATTACATAACCATCTCAGCTTCACTCGCATTTTTGGAAACACGAACGCGTTCAACACATCCGCACTACCACAAGCCATCCGCATGTGGAATGATCTTCCCGACGATATCGCCTCTGATAGCAACCCCAACACGTTTCGGCAAAAAGTTCAGACGCATTTCCTTAATATTTCATCTTGACGTTCTTTTACTTCTTTTCCGAGGGTTTTTATGTTACGGAGTGTTCTTATATACTTCATCGCCATGTTTACGTATTGCTGACTTATTGCTTTGTTAATTTTTTTTTGTTATTACTAACCGACATTGTACCGTTTTTATTTTGAAATTTACATGCGATTTTTCACTGTAACCCCCCCCTTACTCAATGCCTTCTGGCCTGTAAGGTATTTTCAATAAATAAATAAATAAATAAATAAATAAATAAATGCATTGAATGGTAATGTATTGCACAGTGTTGGTTTTGATAAGCCCTTTCTGCTGAACAATCTAGGATTGCAACAACAATGTACAAAAATTGCGAGGTGTGCTGGCACTTGGGTGCTTAAAATAATATGCTATAACAAATATATAGCAGGTGTTTACGAAGGTGCTCTCTCTGTGTCCATGACACAGGCCAAGCCTAAAAAGAACGGTGATTTATTAGATGAAAGTCTAATTACAGCAGCTAGACAAACGTATATTGTTGACAGAATATGCCTTTGAAGCATGTGAATGTGTTCATTGTCAAGTATTTTTTCGCATGTTAACTGCATGTAAAAGCATTTTATTTATACATTGTATTGTTGCGAGACAAATGTGAACACTTTCATTTATGAAATGAGCTGCATTCTACAGTTGTTTGCTTTGAACCTTACTTTCTGAAGTTTGCCTGCAGCTGTGGCATCATGGTGCTACAGTGCTTTGCTCCCTGGCATGGAATGAAATCCTTGCTGGCCATGGCCGCATTCGATAAAAATAAGATGCAAAAAGCTTGTGTACCATGCTTAGTTGGGTGAGTTAACGACCATAAAAAGTTATGAAACTTATTGCACAGCACCATGGCACATAAAGGCCTATATCTTATTTCGGTAATAAGACCTCAAAATCAACAGAATGAAAAAAGTGTATTCCTTCACAAATGGTATAAAATCACTAAAAGCACAAGAAAGGATGGTAGATTTGACTAGAGCGAAATCATAACAACCTAATGCGCAAGAAGGCGGATAGCTAACAGCAGCTCAGAATGCGCAAATTAAAGAATACACAAATTCAAATTTTCACTGAATGAAAGATTTCACACTAATGACATCATTGTCCTATTTGCACGAACAAAGTAGTTCAAGATGATTATGCACTTTAGAAACTACAAAATCATAAACCACTCAATATTATCAATAAAAGCTCATTAACTTGAACTCAACCTGGTTCCTGCCCTTTTCCTTTTTATCGGGAAGAACTTTTGATAATTCGAATGTGTCGGTGACCATAACGATTCATTCAAACTGAAAGTTCCTTGTTTTTATCACTCTTTGTAGAAGTCGACCCCCTTTTAACAGAATATGTTGCAAATTATAATCAAATTAAGTTCAGTAGATATGAAACAGCAACAATTTTCAGCGGATGAGAATTTGAATGCTACGATAGGGCTTTGAGCAAGCTACAAACAACCCAAGTAACACAGAATGTTATCCCAACGTCGAATGAAAGCGCCCAGATGTCAATCAGCAACGTTAGGTAAAAGCGCTTAACGTCCTCTTTTTGATCGTATGATAAAGTTGCTTGTAACATTCAGGACGATGTTGCAACGTCTAGGATCACATTTTGAACATCACGGCTATGTTTTCCCAACATACCAGCATCGTGATGTCATAACAACAGCATTGTGATGTTAAGATACCAGCAACATGGTGTCAGCATACCAGCAACGTGATGCCAACGTTGCTGTGTGACGTGTCGACTTTCATGCGACATGCGCAGAAAATATATACTACTGTGTGTGCGTTATTATTAAAAGGCACGTTGACTTGTTACGGGAGGCGCCCCGAAGCTTTTGGCTAGAAAGAAACTTTGGTATGGTGTGAAAAATTGCAGTATTATTGTTTATGCACGAACACTGTTCCCTAACAGCTCTTTATCACGCATTCGTACATACATATACAAGTGGTGTTAGAACAGCCAAGTTATAAAATGGTCAAAACACGCTTGTGTTTGTCCGTAAGACCAAAAACAGACCTTTCAAAAGTCTCAAAGCGACCAACATATGTGATATACTTACTGCATTTTAGAGCATCGAAAAGTGTGGTTCTGCTCTGTGTAAGCAATGACTACATTAAGTGAACATAAGTTTAGGGTGCAGTTTTTTTGTGTGCAGAATTGCGGAAACTATGTGGCGATGCAGTCACGCAGTTCAGGCAGGAAAGAACATGCCGAAGTGCCTGAATGCCATATGACAGAAAAAAATACATTTATTTACGAAGGTAACTTACATCTTATTTATTTGTTGTCACAGAGCAAGACACGAATGAGAGTGTTACAGAACACGTTCTGCGCATTCAGTAATAAATATTAACAAGGCACATTGCAAGTGTCTTTGATACTATGTCAACTATTGGGTCGTAAAATACAAATACAGGTGTGAAATGAAAATACAACTTGTTAATACTATCGCCCCGCCGCGTTGGTCTAGTGGCTAAGGTACTCGGCTGCTAACCCACAGGTCGCGGGATCAAGTTCGTGCTGCGGCGGCTGCATTTCCGATGGATGCGGATACGTTGTAGGCCCGTGTGCTGAGATTTGGGTGCACGTTAAAGAACCCCAGGTGGTTCACATTTTCGGAGCCCTCCACTATGGCGTCTCTCATAATCATATGGTGGTTTTGGGAAGTTAAATCTCACATATCAATCAATCAATTGTATTACAATCTTAGCTAGTTTGATGAAAACAGCTTTTATTTCTAGTAATTACAATATCAGTGGGAAAATGTATAGGCAAGGAAGAACACACTGGTAAAACTGCTTTGTGTTAAATACATAGGAGGAGACGAAAACCATAGACAGCCATTGCCTTGTCTATAATTTTCCAACAGTGATGCATCCATTGTATACAATGATGGTTGTTACTGCTGTTGACTATCTATGTAATGACTTCATGAACAGAGACATTATAGAAGCGTTGAAAAACTGGAACATTCCACTACGGTACAGCTTGTTTTGACGGAGCTTAAAAGGTTCAAAACAAGAACTTCTTTTTACTAAAACAGAAAAACCTGCCAATATCTGTAGCAAAACATGTTGCATATAAAAAGAAGGATATCAGTTTGAAAAAAACCGAACTTCATGATTACTGCCTGACACGCATTCAGGGAAAAGCAGCTCAATAAATGTGGCCGATTGATTACATAAATATACGCCTTTGAAAATTAAGGTAGCCGACACCTGGTCAAAAAAGCGAAACGAGATCAGCGTAGCAACTGCTCAGTGTAATTCGCGCAAAACATTGACCTCCCAGCCACAACTAAGCGAGAAATATTGATCACGAAATGAAAACACAAGGCATGCAACTATTTTCTGTTCAATTCATTACGAAGTTTTTGTCCGGCCCCGCCGCGGTGGTCTAGTGCCTAAGGCACTCGGCTGCTGACTCGCAGGTCGCGGGATAAAATCCCCGCTGCGGAAGCTGCATTTCACATGAAGGCGGAAATGTTGTAGTTCTGTGTGCTCACATTTGGGTGCACGTTAAAGAACCCCAGGTGGTCGAAATTTCCGGAGCCCTTTCCTACGGCGTCTCTCATAATCATATGGTGGTTTATAAGGGTTAAATCCCACATTTCAATCAATCAAGTTTTTGTCCTTTTGTACATTGGACCATATATGTTTAAACTACCTTGACCGAATTATTCTTGTTCATTCAGTCTAGATTTTATTAATTTGTATCTAGAGGTCAGCTCAAGTTATCTTTAGATTGTTATGCACTGCTCTGCATAACTGTCAAATATTTTTTTCATTTAGGCATTTCTTGTATTGTGTGCGCCACAAATTTTTGCATTTCAACTTCTTTGAATATGAAGCGTATGCGGCTTCTAACTTGATACGGCGTAATGAGTGGTTATACGCATTTTTAGAAAAGCGGCAAAGTACTCTCACTTGTTAGTGGAAGTCGTTAGGAAGGAGGTTGATTTTTGGAAGGTATTCAGAACAAGTATTATGACCGAGTATCCTACTTTTTACAAATATATAACAATGCATATGTCAACTAAGGATATGCATACAATCATACTTGTGGGCACAGGAACGGCAGCAGGCACAGGAAATGCAATTCCTTAGAGTTGAATGACAAATGAACGCGAACCTGCATCACCATCAGAGAAGCAACTAAACGCTATACCGCCACAATATACATGCCCGGTGAAGTTCCCATATGCAAACTTAGCAGCATATTGAAGTTGCCAGTCTTTATTACAGACTTCCTATGTGGTTCAATTTGATTGAATAAGGTCGCCAGATCAGGGTACATCCAAGAGGGGTACACTGTCGACAATGTCGGCAAAGAGCAATTGCAGGGTGATGGCTGTAAGGGCCACGTAACAAGCAATGATGCGAGACAATTGGTTGACAATGAGGGCCTGCATTATGAAGAGGAAGTGATTAGACCCATACTAGTAGCTTAATAGGCAAACAAAATAATCAACTGGAAACACTTCTCTTAAAATTGCACAGAATCAGCTTACAAAATGTGTCTGCGAGATCCTATGAAAGCTGTGCCAGGACTGAAAGGAAGCTATCTAACAACCCAGCAGTGAAAAACACAAAGCAGTGAGGAACCTAAATAGTGCCGACATGAAATTTGTGAGGCTTTATTTTGAACTGAATGAATGGCTTCTTGTAATTGATGGCAAAGAATCAACATTTCGAGCTTATTTATGGTCCTATTTCTGTTATACAGCTCAAACATATTCAGTCTTCCGAGTTGTTTCAGGGTGGCAGTGTTCGTTGAGGTAAATATTATAAGTGATGCACAATAAAAATTGTTAGTAGTTGGAAATTGCTGTATAATGTCGTGGTTACCAAACAGATGGCACTCTTAGCTTACTATTGCTTTCTGTCACTCCTCATCAGCTGCATTAGTGGCAAACTAAGATGAAATTTCGCAGCTTATTTTCTTCTTCCGGCACGTCCATATGCACCTAAAACAAAGTGAAAAAGATTTCATCTAAAACACCATAATAAAATTATCAGCATGTTCTTTGTATACCACAGTAAGAAGCAGAGTCATATATAAGGAGCAAATGTAAAAAATTTTTCAAGAGACAGGCCGGTTCATGATTAAAAATATAGACTCATACTTAACACAGCAAAATATAGCAAAAACTACATACACGTTTCGCCAAATATGCAGCTGGCATCCTCAGTATGCCCTGGCACGAAATGAGCGGAGGTTACGCAATTTGCTGCTTGTCTCGTATGTCGCTTAGTATGCGGCCGCGGTTGTCGCGCGCCAACTTGTCACACTAATATATCACGACTCGAGAAGATTTCACTTGCCCCAATCTCGTTCCTGAGCTAGCGTTGTCTCATTACTGAACTCGAAGGCATGTCCCGTTGTCGAGCAGTGTTCGACGAGTTTTGTCTTATAATGCATGGCATGGGTGGCCTTTGCGATGTCCTCTTCGTGTTCTCTGAGACCTGTTGGTCGCTTCCTGCTCATTTCACTCATGCATGTGGTGTCGCATACATCACTGATGAGCACTTGCAATCATATAAAAGGAAAACGTGGTTGGTGAGTTGTAACAAAGACATTATCCGGCCAGGTTTATCAACCACACCCAGAAACACATGCAAAAGGGAACAAGGAGTGTGCTGCAAGAAAACGCAAAACCCATTGTTTCTGTACCTTATGTTGAAGGATTTTCTGACTCTGTTTAAATAGCACTTCGTCCACCGGGAATTAAAACAATTTTCAAGCCTCATTGTTCTTTGGTGGATGTGCACCCCTGCGAACAGCACCCCTGCGAACAATCAAAAGAGGGTTATTTACATGTTTCTGTGCGTGGCTGTGACACCACTTATATAAAAAATGGCAGGAAGTGGTCAACAAGTTTTAATGAACACAAAGGGTACATCACAAAAGCAACGCATTTTATTACAAAACTCGTCCAACAGTGCTTAAAAATGAGGCATGCCTTCGACTTCCGTAATTCGACGACGCTGGCTCGGGAACGAAAGAGAGGGAAGAGAAAGTTTTTCATGTCGTGGTTAGACCGTCGTGACCAGTCAGCCTGCAACAACAATCGCGGACTCCGTCGGGATGAGTAGACACATACGAGACAATCAGTGAATTTGGTCCCATCCACATATTTTGTGCCAGTACAGACTGAGGGTGCCACTCACATAAGAGGCGAAATGTCTGTGTAGATTTTGTTATATTTTGTTGTGTAAAGTCGAAGTACATATTATAATCACTATGGTGGAGAGTTTTGTTTGGCATATGTTCAATTATTTTCATAGAAAAATTATTTTTATTCATACAAAAATTATTTCAAAACTTGCTTTCTATTTTTGCGTACATAATTCCCTCTTGAGGCAAAATAAACATTGCTACTCAGCATTCATGTCATGTGTTGACTACTGATAATCTATCATCCCATAATTATGCTCTTGCCAGTAACTGCTTTTCTCGGAAGTTGTTATTTACGCGTCTCTTCTATTTGGCTACACCACCTGTGTTAATTCAAAAAGTGCAACAGTTGACCACCAAATTTTTCGTTAGTAGTTAGCTCAACAAGTGCTGCTCACTCGATCAGATTGCTCCTAAATTTAAAGCATCATAACAAACTTAACTCAATTTGAAGCATTTGCATTAAGTGAAATTTTCAGAATAGGACTAGCTTAGTTCTTTGCTCTATAGTTTGCCATGTAAGATTAAAATATTTATGTAATTGCTCTTTATGAAGACGCTGTATCAGCTGTTTTGCAGAGGCATTCTTTTGAATATTGTGTTAAACCACAAATTCACAACATAACATGGCGATTTCAGGTAGCATGTCTAGCCTTCATTATAGTGGTATAACTTCCGTTAGCAACATTTTGCCTCGTGCAAAGCAACAGAATAGCTGCATTTTACGACATTTTGTTTACAATATACTGTGTTTCTGACACTAAAATTAGTCTAATGTGCATCACTCTATAAGGCCTCAGTCGGAGCTTAAATCACAGTGATCGAAAACAGGAAAAAAAGACGGCAGCATCAAACTTACGATTGAGAGCAGCTTCTGTTCAAATATACCAATTACTTTCATTTTTTCTGAAGATCTGCCTGTATCTTTAAACATTGCCAGGAGGCCGCAGCTGCACGCCATTCTTTGTGAGGCAGCACCTTGATGGGCTGATGTCAGACGTCCCTGCGGCATATGTATGCTTCCCGTCTTGCTACTTGCCTTTCTCCACCTCTACTTTACATTGTGCACTGTTTGTTCAACAAAAGTGCTAAGATTGCCCCCCTTTCGGAGCTTTACTCTCCAGTCAGTAGAATTATTCACTGCCGGTGCTATTCATATTCGTTCTAGGAACCCCACATAGGGAATATAGTGAGTTGAGAGACACGAGCGATAGCTGGCGGGGTTTACAAACCCGTTTCAGGGGATTTTAAATGTCACCTCCTCTACTTGATCACATGGCCAGTAGATGTGGCCGCTTGTAAAAAAAAAACCCTGCAGCAGATGACACGTGCTGCGGCATTCCATTTAACAATGGAACCCTCTGCATATATACTGCGGGCATGGTCCGCTTGATACTAAGGTAGCTACATACAGAAGCTACCCGGAAAACTATCTTTTACTACTTCCTGGCTCTCATTACACAAAGCCCCTTTTCGTGTATTGCAGTGAGCAAAAAATGGTGATTTCATGCGCATGAACGACGGAAGAAATTTGCCAACCAAAACATTACTAGCCTCGCGCAACGCTAAAGAGATGTATCATTTGCCACTTTTTTTTTCTTTCTCACATAGGTACTTTAAACCCTCAAGAATAAGAATGGCGATCGGGATGACATCAGTCATGATGTGGTGCTAGCGTGGTGAGCAGACAGAGGGAAAGATGAAGTCAAGCAGTTCAACACTCATACTTAGAGGGCGGTCTCACACTTACACTTACAGATTTATTGAAACATATGTGAGTCAATTATTTAAGCTATAAAACGAGTTGCCGTCACCCCACAATTAATTTCTAACACAGATACCAAAGCACCTGTTTAACTTTGATCAACGAATCTAATGATATCATATTCACTTCGATTTCAAATCCGAAAAGTAGGTATTTCATTTGATATGCCTTAGGCAGTATTCAATTTAGTGTGAAAAGTTAATACTATTTGCGCGCTCTTACAAAATAAACAGCACAGTACACATGGGCGGGAAAGATTAGAGGCCTTCAAGCGCGAAAAGTGCCTTTGGCTGTCCACACAAGTGCTAAATAAAATAATTGGCTGACAACATAGATCACCAGAATTTTTGAAATCATGACGTGATCACGTGACACCGCCGTTTGGTGTAACTTGGGCAGATCCCCGAGAAACTGACAAACCGCATGAAGTGCAGAAAGCTTGTGGCGAGGGAATACAGTCGACCGAAAAGCAGAAGAGGATGGCTACTTCGGGGTTCAAATACCCGAAGACGAACGCATATGGGATCTTGGGAGTATTATTGTGACAGAAATTTTGCACCCTACCTGCGCACTTACTCGGATTTCACAAATGCGACGGTAGATGTGTTAGAATCTGATCAGTTTGTGTACATGGTACTGCAGATATTTTCATTCCAGATTTAGAACAGCTGCACAGTGGTGTGGTATACGAAGCGATCTTACAAAACGATTGCTGAGTTAGTGCTCACCTATGTGAGTACTCGTAGAAGTAGCATGTCATATGGTTATCGCGAAAAGTCACGCACAGTCTTTCTTTTTAAGATTCCAATTCTTTTGTTTCAAACTTAAAACTACCTCCCCCCTCCCACCCCCTTTCTGTTTTTACCATCTTGAGTGCCTGTACAGCACGCTAGCTGATTGGGACACTTGGCTTAGTGAGTGAAAGCTAAAAAACCAGTCCGGTGATTGCAGTCGGGCTATTGCAAACCAGTCCGGGTATTGCATGAGCTATTCCTCACAACGCAAAGCAACTTCTCATAGAAATTAGGTACACTGTAGCCTGGAAGCACATTCAATATTGTTATTCTACACAAAAAAGAAAAAGTTATTTTCTCATACACACACATGGTTCTGCAGATTTTGATGAAAGCCTGTATGACCTTTTCATTGCTTTATTGGCTATATCTCTTGACGGAAACCTTGCATAATGATTTATGAAGAGGCTGAGAAAATTTCATTTGGTTATGTTGAACAGTTTTGACACACTGCCAGTGCAACGGAGGCTTGTACAGCAGAAGCACTGGTCTTTCCTCGCACTCTTCTGAGTGCTATGCAATACCGCTTCAGACTAGGCGACAATGCTAGCTGTCATTAGAAAGATGAGAATGTAAGCTTTGTAACGCAATACAATTCACATCAATAGACTGAGCGTAGAACGCCCGCAAACAGTGACTAAAATGCAGAGTGGGTGCTGCCGGAGTGGG